TGCTGAATACCTCCTGCAGAGAAAGCACTTGCGCTGCAGAAGATTATTGGTGGGATCTGTTCAAATCTCTGAGGCACACCCAGTACACTCAGGGCTTGCATAGAATCAGGGCTTGTGGTGACTCATGGCATCATGGTCACCACATGTCAACTGAGAGAATTGGGGGGTTACATAATGCACACACACATAAATGTCTCTGCTGCTGTGTTACAGAAATTATCCCAGAGATGGGAAACATTGGGTCCTCCAGATATTGTTGAACTGGCTTGATGTCTCCCCATGGGCTATACAGTAATGGTTATAGCTGATGGGAGTTACAGGTCAAGGACGTCTAGAAACTAAACATTCCTCAGGCATGCTTTATACCTCACTTTCCCTTCTGTTTTCTATGGTTTACAGCTGGTGATGTTTTCTTGTACAGTTTCTGCCCTGTCTCACATGCAGAAGTCTACCTTGTGACATAAGGCCCACAACATTTGTGGAATGAGGTCTTCTCCTAGGGCTTTTGAGGGATTGAGTTGTTTAAAGAGGAATTGGTGAACAGGAGGAGAAGGACCTGGCTATTTTCAAGCTAAGAAACACAAAGGTTGCAGGGAAGTATGGGTGGGGCCTTTATAGACCCAACCTTGGGTCCCTAGATGTTCTTGGACTACAGCTTCCAGAAATCCTGTCCAGCATATCTAGTGGTGAAGGCTTATGAGAGTTTTGGCCTGAGAACATCTGGAGACCCAGGGTTGGAAACCACTGCTATAGAAAGATCAAGAAGTTTGTAGTGCCTGCTTTTCTTTTATTTCTGCTCACTTCCTGTTGAATTCTTCTCGAAAGCACTGCATGCACATACCCGTGCATGCATACACAGATTATGTGTTCTGACTATATCTTGAAATATATTGGTGAATTCTTGACGTGGGTACCTGTCCTGAGGTTTCCTGGCAGGAAAGGACAAAGAAGCAGCGCTCTTTTAGAAAGTGGTTCTTCCACTTTCTTGCATATATTTCCTCACAGCTGCCCGTAAGAACCAGCACTAGCTCTCTCTTTTCCTTTGGTTGATCCATGCCATCTGTTTCGTGTGGCCAGACTGAGGAGATTGTAAATGAGGTTGACGTGAAAGATGGTCTGGTTGGTTTGTCGGTTAGAAGAGCAAAAAGGCACTATGTAATTTAGGCCATTTTAGTTTGTCAGTAACTCTGCTGCCTGTTTGGCAAGTATGGTGACATGTTTGTGCTCCGTCAATAGATACCCATTACATTTCCAGCAGCTTAAGAATGACTGAGCCAAATCCACATTATAAAAATAAACCAAACATCTCTACAAGTTTGCCAACAATGGTTTGCCACTGTCATGTACTGATTAGTATAACAGCCATTAATATCAGAGCTGTAAGTAGCCATTGGGTGGCCAAAGCTTCATTGCCCTGTTGGTTAAGTTTGGGTCATATGCTGTGCTCATATACAGGGAGAGCATGGATATCTGGGAAGGAACACTTGGTCTGCACACACCGCAGCCATAGTGGCTCCACACTGAGACCAGCTATTGTGGGTTTTATTCTGCCCATGGAGGAGGAATTGCAGGCAACATAAATATGTATAGCAAGGGGTTTCTACCTTTCTCGTAGCAAATACTGTATCAATAGGTTACTCACATGTTCACCCCCTGCCCTCTAAATTTTGACATCACTCCTAAAGCCCCTTTTGCCCTCCTCTGCTGATTAATATATTAATATATAAAACATATTGGCTAAAATCCCACTGTTGTTTGTGTAACTTTCCATGGCTAATTGCAGCTAATTGACAAGATGCCATCAGATATTGTAGTTGTATGCATGGTCACGCTTCTGAGTATGCAACCGAGATGTATCCCACCCGCTCGTCAGATAACCACCATTAACCATGACCAATTCTGTATATGCATACAGAAGAGGACTCCGGCCATTTTTGAGACTGCGAATTGGACTTTGTCCCCCTAAGGTGAAAAAAAGTAGTCAACATGACCACCCTGGGCTTCATTTGAGATTTCCTTTCAGTTCCTGGAATCAGTTCTCAAATAGGCAAAGTAATAATATAGCAGAGAACACTTTTGACTATATGTAGACTACCATTTCCTCACAATTATTTCCTTATATGATTGGAATTAGAAGGGAATGTTTCTAGGTAATATTCTAGATGGGTTTGACCACATATTTTAATAATTTAGCTCTGTTTTTGTGAACTCAGTTTTTATGGATAAAAAAATAGATCTTGGCAAACACAAATCCAGGGTGATTGGCAGCAGAAAAATCCCATGTCTTTGCCCTGAATTAACTAGCATGCTAAACACTTTACCGCAGTGCAGCCTGAGATTATATGCAGTCCTGAGATTAGGGCTACAACTCCCATTACTCTTGACCACTGGCTATGCCGTCAAAGGTTGTTAAGAGTTTCAGTCCAATAATGCCTGCAGGGCTCCACTTTGCTTAACCCTCTTTGTGGCCCCACCCTGGGATGATGGTCTGTTTGTCTCCGTTGTGGAAATGTTATATACAAAACTTCTACAACCTATTCTAAAATTATGGAGATACACATATATAACAATTTCACACTACGTATTCAGTACCTAGTGAAAACAACAGAGAGTCTTGTGGTACCTCAAAGACTAAAAAGTGAAAACAACAGAGAGTCTTATGTTACCTCAAAGACTAAAAAGTTTAATATGACATAAACATCTGTGGACTGCAGCTCATATAATCAAAAAGAGATGTAACCTTGACGTAGGGTTTTTTCATCGTGTGATACATCTGTCCATGTATTTTGGATATCATTGTGCAAAATGAAAAATTATATACCATGGAACACAGTGAAGACAGTCATCATCAAGTGGAGAAAATATGGCACAACAGAACTGGACTTCCCTGCAAAATTGATGAAAAGACTAGAAGAAAATTGGTCAGGGAGGCTGCCAAGAGGCCTACAGCAACATTAAAGGAGCTGCAGGAATATCTGGCAAGTACTGGCTGTGTGGTACATGTGACAACCATGTGACATATATCTGATTCATATATCTGATTCATATATCTGAGCTGTGGGGTAGAGTGGCAAGACAGAAGCCTTTCCTTATAGAGAGAAACATCCAAATTTTGCAGAAACCATATCTGAAGTTTCCCAAAAAAGTGGAGAAAAGTGTAATGGACTGATGAAACCAAGGTTGACCTTTTCGGCCCTAATTCCAAAATATATTTTTGGCGCAAAAACAACACTGCACGTCACCAAAAGAACACCATACCCACAGTGAAGCATGGTGGTGATGGCACCATTATGCTTTGGGGCTGTTTTTCTTCAGGTGGGACAGGAACCTTAGTCAAGGTAGAGGGAATTATGAACAGTTCCAAATGCCAGTCAATATTGGCACAAAGCTTTCAGGCTTCTGCTAGAAAGCTGGACATGAGGAGGAACTTAATCTTTCAGCATGACAACCACCCAAAGCAAACATTCAAATCAACAAAGGAATGGCTTCACCAGAAGAAGATTAACGTTTTGGAATGGCCAAGCTAGAGCCTAGACTTGAATCCGACTGAATATCTGTGGGGTGATCTGAAGAAGCCTGTGCACACGAGACGCCCTTGCAATCTGACAGATCTGGAGCGTTTTTGCAAAGAAGAGTGGGCAAATATTGCCAAGTCAAGGATTTGCAAAACTGATAGACTCATACCCAAAAAGGCTGAGTGCTGTAATAAAATCAAAAGATGCTTCAACAAAGTATTAGTTTAAGGGTGTGCCCACAGATGCAACCATATTATTTTAGTTTTTTATTTTTACTTCCCTCCACCTAAAAGATTTCAGTTTGTTGTTCAACTGAGTTGTACAGTTCATAGGTCTCATTAAAGGTGGAAAAAGTTCTGAAATGATTTATCTTTGTCTCATTTTTTTTACATCACACACACTTGACATTTTAACAGAGTTGTGTAAACTTTTTATATCCACTGTATATTGAACTGCCACTGATTTCCAACTGTATCCGCTACATATGATTTGATCTGGATCCTGCTGTGGTCTTGGACCTCAATATCACAATATCTCTGACATTATGGATAAGCCAGCAGACCAATCGGAGGCATCCAGGTGCAGCAGAGAAATGTAATCTGTATTGAGCTCAAGTAATCTGAAAAGAATGGAATCGTATATCTGATAACATTCCCCGTGGAGCCTCCAGTCTTTGAAATGAGAATTGTTCCCTCTCCATCAGCCCTGGCAACTCTGACAAGCCCGTCAGGATTTTCAAGAGGCTGCAAGAAGGAGAACCTCATTACTGTGCTCCCAGGCATGGATGAGGAATCTGGGGTATCCATCAAGAATTCCCTTTATCTTGATATCCTGGGCTGCCAGGGAAGGGAGGTGGATTGATCTTGCCAGAAGCCTGAATGGATCCCCTTTGAAGCACCTTCCGAAATTAGGCCAAGAGCCCTAGGGCTGGCAGCCTGTGGGGTTGCATCCGTGCTACCAAGAGTGGGCAAAGGGCAAGATGGGGTCCAGAAGGAGATCTGTTTGTGATGTGCAGTACAGTACCAGGTTTTTCTGATTCCCAGCTGTGGCAGAATTACCTCCGTTTGTCCTCGTTGTACTGCCCAGTTAAAAAAACAGCTTTAGGATAGTCGGGAGTAGATCTTTACTCAGGTATTCATGGTGTAAAAAGGCTGCCATGCCACAGGTACAATGGGAAGCTCACCAATTTGTGCCATCTCACTTGTCCTGCCAGGTTTTCTCCTCACCTTCTTCCTGCTCACTGAGGCTTGCTGTTGACAGGGCAAACCAACACTCCTTAGGCTTGGGGCCCACCACTGCGAACTTCCTCAACTTTCACACTCCCACGATTCCTGGAAAAGGCCACCTTTTACTGTTGCTTTCAAACAGAGATGGCCCTCGTGGTAACAAGGTTTCCAAGGGACGGCTGCTGTGGCACTCAAGCTGATGGGGTTCCTTCTGCATGCTTTTTAAAACCCTAACCTCCTTTTGTTATGTGTATTTCAGGAAGCAGAAGATTTACAGAGAGGAGCGCAACCTAACCTTGGACTCATTGATGCAGCTCAAGCAGGAGGCAAGCTGGCTCCAGTTCCACTTGGGCATTAATAGCCAGGCCCTGTATCCTCGGTCCAGCCCTGCTATTGACCAACTCCTCAAGGACACACATGACCTTAACACCATCAGTGCTGGTAAGTTTTCCTTCTGAATCTGTGGTTAATCAGTCCTGGTTTTGAACTGTTCGGGATTGTGCCTGGCGGATTGGAGAGGAATGGTCTGTTAGTTGCACCTTGAAAAGCCTTTCCTAATTTCCACAAGGTCAGTGGGAGTGAAGGTTGCTCGTGTTCCATCATTCTGTTCCGTTTTTTGAACGTTGTTAGTTGTTATGTGCCATTGTGCCACTCCCAACTTATGGTGGCCCTGTGAATGAGGGACTTCCAAAACGTCTTGTCCTCGACAGCCTTGCTCAGCTCTTGCAAACTCAAGGCTGTGACTTCCTTTATGGAGTCAGTTCATCTCATATTTGGTCTTCCTCTATTCCTGCTGCCTTTTTGATGGTACACCACACTGTTTAAAAAGAACACAAAGGAAAGTGCTAATAAGAGGAAACCAGTAATTAAAACCTCTCCCACTGAATAGGAAGAGAAATTGGCTGTAGGGTAATAGGGGAAGTGCATCAGTAAAATCCTGCTGTTGCTGACTTTTGTTTTCATGGCATAGGCAAGGGAGCAGTTCTTTCTGCCTCTGTCAGACCCTGCCTCAATACTGGGGTGTCCTCCTGGAAAGATTTTGGAAGCCTGTGGAGGAGGGGCAGCAGGGAAAAAGGAGCAGAAGAAAGTGCAATTGTGCATGAGAGCATTTCACCTGATGCCATGTTGGATCCCATCCTCCATGTTGGAGCCTCCATCCTGTGCTGGGATTTCATCGGGGAAACAACAAAAGGAGCTGAGCATGCAGGCAGGCGTAGAATGCAGAAGCGGGGAGATTTAACCACTGGGCCACTGAGATAAAGGCCAGAGGGGTATTAAGCTATACAGCTTCTTGGCCTTCTCACCCTGAAATGGGCACCCAGTGGAGATGATCTGTGAAGAGGCGAGCCTCTTCAGATGGTTCCTTCAGCTGTGGTGCTCACTTTAAATGTGAACATTTTGGAAACCGTATGTTCTCTCCTGCTGCCATTGAGACATAAAAGCCTATCCGCACAAAGGGTGGTCACAAACCCAAACATAAAACATAAGACGCAGAATTCCTCCCACAATCCTCTGCATGTCATCTGTTATGTCCCTGGAAGCTGCCAAATACAGATTGTCTCCTGTGTGCCACTTGTTGGCCAAACCACCAACAAGAACATGAAATTCTTCTGCCAGAGGGAATAGGACTTCCATTGTTCTCCTGTTTTCTACTGACCAAGTCGCTCCTGTGTGTTGAACATCAGGACATGCTTGGGCATGTAGGCAGAGGACCACAAAATCCTTTACACAAGGAAATTCCCAAATAGCCACACGACATAAGAGGGGTGTCTTTAATTAGACCATAGCTGTGTTATTTAATTAACATGATAGTTAATCTGTCCCTTAGTTTGCAGCATGCATGGGAAAATCTAATTTTTTATGAATCATGCTTAGTTAATCAGGTCAGATTTCTAGCAAAGTAAGCATCCTGTCTATTTAATAACCAACTGGCAGAGACAGGATGCACCAGATTTTTCTCACAACAAAATGAGAAGAAAAAGTAAGAAATGTTACTTTGTTCTAGTCTCTGTGGTTACTAGCATAACTAATGCTAACAATTTTGTATTATTTAGGGGATGGTTAGAAGGGGATTTGCCCTACTATTTGGTCTGCTATGGGGATGGACTGGTTCACTTCTTTTGCTGGTGATCAGATGACTTAAGTGCCAGAGTGAACCAGCCCATCCCCAGGGCAATCCTATATGCACTTTTATGGGTCCCAGTCAGGGGCTACTCTTTTTTATGGTACAAGTAGAATCGCTCCGTTTTGAATTCATTTACATTATATGTGATTGCTGGGATGGAACCGAAGCAGAGATTGAAGCTTTAAATTTCCCTTCCACTTTCAATTTCCCAATATCGTTAAGTGGCATAAGGAGACAGTTTAACCACTTCACAAAAATGCAAAATTAAACATTTTCTCTGCTGCTCCGTGGAGGGGAAGAGGAAGAAAGCAATTTTTAAAAAGTCTATGAGAACAGAACTGATGTGTTACATTGTTTTGAGAGAAAAAAAATTGAAAACTTCCTCCCAGAAAAGGGAGGAGAGTGGAGGGAGCAACGAGGAAGATTTTTTTCTTTTTGTTCTTGTTATTTTTTTAGGAATGTAGGCCAAATAGAGTCACTCAATGTATGGATGCCACGTGGATGCAAGGATTGCACCAAATGGCATACTGGACCTTTACACAATCTTAAGCAACCCTATTTAGCCCGCTCCCTCCTGCTTCAGTTGAGCTGTGCAACCAAGCCCTAAGTGCTCATCCAACCTAATTCCATCTTTGCCTCATTTGTTAGAAAGCTGGCAAAGCAGTTCCACCTGGAGGAAAAAGGAAGCGTAGTGCTGTGGCCAAGGATGCTGCTTAGAGGCAGAGTTTAGAGGCACTGTAAGCACATATGCCCCTATTTTGTTGGCTATGAACCACACAGGAAGTGGTCTGTTCACCACACCATTCTACTTTCTCTGTTACTTGTGCAAGGTAGAATCTACTCACCTTTTGCACACACAGGACACTTGCCAGCTTGTTTAACTGAGGTGGAGATCTTGGGGACACATGGAGAGGGACAAATCTCTCAGCCAAAATCTCCAGCAGTGTCCTTGATGGAATTTTCTACTGTTATTGACACAAGAAAGTGTGACTTATCACAAAGTCCTTTTGCGATACAAAAGATACGTTATCATATAACTCAGTGAGCAGTCTTAACTTTCACTGGGCTTTTTCGCAATTATATCCTGAACCCGTCGGAGAGAGCCTGTAACTCTTGCTGGAAATGATTTATCTGCATGTAAAATCACTTGGCCAAAACCTCCCGTGGTGTTCTTACCTTGATTCAAGCTCAACTGCTGTTTTAAAACCCTTCATTCTCCCCAGGATATTCTTGATTGTCCTTGTTCCCCTTTTGTTCTTCTAAAAATTATAATGCACACATCCTTTGCAACACCCATTACTGGCATGACAGGGCACACCAAAGGCTGTCATAAGACATTTTGCTGCTTAAGATCAAGGATAAAACAATGCTTCTCCCTGAACAGTACTACATACTGAAGAACCTTACATCTACGTTGATGGTGCGACAATTCCCTTTTCCACGCCATGGGCAGCCTAAAAGGTAGGGGGCAGATTGCCTGGCACATAAAGATCCCTCCTGCAACACCATCCTGCCTCTTGTCATCCTTCCAGTAACTGCCATGTGGTTCTAACGGTAGGAGCAGCCCTGCATACCTATTATGGCAAATGGTAGCACTGGTCCGCCACGCGGGCTGATGATTGGGCTGTCTCTGCATGAAACTCTTTTTTGAGATCTATTCAATGGCTCTGAATCTCATTCCTTTTCTTTTCTTTTTTCATTTCAGATTATAGTCAGGATGAGAAAGCATTGTTAGGTGCCTGTGACTGTTCACAAAGTAGGTGGAATGTATTTTGTTTCTGTTACCTGTCTTGATCGATGTACCTCAAGAGTCCTTGTTTCTAAGGAGAATAGAGGGATTTTAATAATACCTTGGGGAGGTGATCTTCAACCGTTTCTCCTTCCCTCTGCAGCCCTTTACATCTCTTTATGATCTGGACACAATCTCTGCCCTCCAGGGCAGCTTTATAGATGGCACATGGGAAAGACCAATCACAAAGGCTGAGGGCAGGAAAAGATAAGAAGGTGACTTTGCAGTTAGAAGCAATGCTGCCTCAAGAAGTAAAGGACATTGGATTACCCTATTTTCTTATCACAACTTTACAGGTTGCAAATTAGTTTGCTTTTGTTTGATGAATAGCAATAGGAAGATTTCCTTTGCATGTTGATTGCAGTTTTCATGAATACTCTTCTGGAGAGTCAACCTTCTAACCACAAAGTAACTGTCTGTCTTTCTGCACTGACTCCTGCCCAATTCAACTGTCTATCAATGTTAAAACAAACTTTGCAAAAACCACACTGTGTGTACATGGCTTATGCTCACAATCACTCATGCACAACGCCCTTTCTGCTGGTTAAAGGGCCTATTGTTTTTACACAAATGCCCTATCAAAACTAGCATGTTTAACTAAATAAGCATTTCGTCTTCTTAAAAAGTAGTTTTGTAAAAAAAAAAAAGTGCTTTTGAACAATGGGATAAATAATTCTTTCATTTCTCAGTTGTCAAGCCCAGCGGAGTTCATTTGAAGCTCGTTCTGCGGTTCCAGGACTTTGGGAAAGCCATGTTCAAACCTATGAGGTAAGCTTACTTTGCCTGAAAATATTTGGGTTCATTGTTAAGGTGGTGGGCAGTGGGTTTCCAGAAGGCCAAACAATTTGTATACATACATACATACATACATAC